TCACCGCCGTTGATCGCACGCGCCGTCTCGTCGCCGGCACCACCTTGGTGAGGCTCTTGGTCTTATCTTTTTTGTGAAAGAAAACTTATTTGTGTGATTAGATAGTTGCTTGTATAATTTTCCTACTTGTAAGATTGTTTGTTATACGTAGTGGCATGGTTTTGATATCCGTCCCTGTCAGCCCTTGTCTGTTTTATGATTCGGATGTGGTATATTATCTTTTATAACTATTTGTTACATTTCGTGTTTATGATAATTATGCCCATCAAGTTGACATAGATATTTGCATCTAGGAGGTATGTGAACCGGAAATTGCATCCAACCCTCTTGTCGAGAAGTTAATTTAGTTGAAAAAGAAATGAGCATTTGAAAGAAATATTGAAAAGAATTGAAGAAGAGAAGATGAAATTGGAGTTGTATGTTGCCGATGCCATCGATGATCACAAGATCAAGATGGATGCAATGCGCTTGAAGATTAGAAATATTAGAAAATATGTCGTTAATAAAGAGGCTTGGTGTCGTTATTGTTGGGGTACGCAGTATTTTCAAAATTTTCCTACGATCACGGAAGATCTATCTAGGAGATGCATAGCAACGAGAGGGGAGAGAGTGTCCACGTACCCTCGTAGACCAAAAGCGAAAGCGTTTAGTAACATGATTGATGTAGTCGAACGTCTTCGCGATCCAACCGATCCAAGTACCGAACGTACGGCACCTCCGCGTTCAGCACACGTTCAGCTCGATGACGTCCCTCGTGCTCTTGATCCAGTTGAGGATGAGGGTGAGTTCCATCAGCATGACGGCGTGACGACGGTGATGATGATGTTACCAGCGCAGGGCTTCGCCTAAGCACTGCGGTGATATGATCGAGGTGTGTAACTGTGGAGGGGGGCACCGCACACGTCTAAGGCAAAACTTGGTGTGTTCTAGGGTGCTCCCTGCCCCCTTATATAAAGGAGGGAGGGGGAGGCCAGCTGGCCCTTGCTAGGCGCGCCGGGACAAGGGGAATCCTACTAGGACTCCAAGTCCTAGTAGGTTTCCACCTAAAGGAGAAGGGGAAAGGAAGGGAGGGGGGCGCCCCCAACCCCTTGTCCAAATCGGACTGGGCTTGGGGGGGGGGCGCACGCCACCTCCTAGCCACTGCCTCTCCTTCCCACTAAGGACCACTAAGGCCCATCAACTCCCCGGGGGGTTCTGGTAACCTCCCGGTACTCTGGAAAATACCCGGACTTCTCCGGAACCATTTCGATGTCCGAATATAGCCTTTCAATATATCAATCTTTATGTCTCAAGCATTTCGAGACTCCTCGTCATGTCCGTGATCTCATCCGGGACTCCGAACAAACTTCAGTCATCAAAAGACATACCTCATAATACAAATCCTCATCGAACGTTAAGCATGCAGACCCTACGGGTTTGAGAACTATGTAGACATGATCGAGACACATCTCCGATCAATAACCAATAGCGGAACCTGGATGGTCATATTGGCTCCTACATATTCTACGAAGATCTTTATCGGTTAACCCACATAACAACATACGTTGTTCCCTTTGTCATCGGTATGTTACTTGCCCGAGATTCGATCGTCGGTATCATCATACCTAGTTCAATCTCGTTACCGACAAGTCTCTTTACTCGTTCCGTAATGCTTCATCCTGCAACTAACTCATTGATCACATTGCTTGCAAGGCTTATAATGATGATCATTACCGAGAGGGCCTAGAGATACCTCTCTGATACACGAAGTGACAAATCCTAATCTCGATCTATGCCAACCCAACAAACACCTTTGGAGACACCTGTAGAGCATCTTTATAATTGCCCAGTTACATTGTGACATTTGATAGCACACAAGGTGTTCCTCCGGTATTCGGGAGTTGCATAATCTCATAGTCTGAGGAACATGTACAAGTCACGAAGAAAGCAGTAGCAATGAAATTGTAACGATCATAATGCTAAGCTAACATATGGGTCTTATCCATCACATTATCCTCCTACTGATGTGATCCCATTTATCAAATGACAACACATGTCTATGGTTAGGAAATATAACCATCTTTGATTAACGAGCTAGTCAAGTAGAGGCATACTAGGGACACTATGTTTTGTCTATGTATTCACACATGTACTACATTTCCGGTAAATACAATTCTAGCATGAATAATAAACATTTAACATGATATAAGGAAATATAAATAACAACTTTATTATTGCCTCTAGGGCATATTTCCTTCAATTATGTTGTTGGATCAATTATTACCTTAGTTGCGATTTTGATCGCATTTGTTGTTGCATTTAAATGCTTTAGCTAGATAGTTGTATGTTGTTTTATGAGAATAAGTATGTATGAACTTTATATATGAACTTGTATTAATTTGTTCTTTTCGGTGTTGTGTAATAAAGATGAGCCGACAATGGATGTACAATGACCGACACTCTGCCCAGTTCATTAATGGCGTGCATAGTTTTCTATGTGCGGCTGAGGAAACAAGCGAAATGGTTTTATGTTTGTCCATGTGGTGTCTGTAAGAACGATAGGAATTACTCTAGCTCAAAAGTCCTTCACATCCACCTGCTTACGTCCGGTTTCATGTCCGGCTATAACTGTTGGACCAAGCACGGAGAAAGAGGGGTTCTAATGGAAGACAATGAAGAAGAAGAGGATGATGACAACTATCCTAGGTTCCCTGAATACGAAGGTACTACAATGGGGGAAGAAGCTGAAGAAGAGGCATCAGATGAGTCCGCTGATGATCTTGGTCGGGCCATTGCTGATGCAAAGAGAAACTGCGCACGTGAAAAGGAGAATTTGAAGTTGCAGGGCATATTAGAGGCTCACAAAAAATTGTTGTACCCAAATTGCAAAGATGGCAAGAAAAAGTTGGGTACCACACTGGAATTACTGCAATGGAAGGCAGAGAATGGTGTATCTGACAAGGGATTTGAAAAGTTGCTGAAAATGTTAAAGAAGATGTTTCCAAAGGACAACGAATTGCCCGACAGTACATACGAAGCAAAGAAGGATGTCTGCCCTCTAGGATTAAAGGTGCAGAAGATACATGCATGCCCTAATGATTGCATCCTATATCACGGTAAGTAGTTCAAGAATTTGAATGCATACCCGGTATGTGGTGCATTGCGCTATAAGATCAGCCGCGATGACCCTAGTGATGTTGAGGGCAAGCGCCCCAGGAAGAGGATTCCTGCCAAGGTGATGTGGTATGCTCCTATAATACCACAGTTGAAACGTTTGTTCCAAAACAAAGAGCACACCAAGTTGTTGCGATGGCACAAAAAAGACTGTAATAAAGACGGGATGTTGAGAGTACCCTATGATGGGTCATAGTGGAGAAAAATCAAGAGAAAGTGGCCAGAGTTTGTAGCTGACGCAAGGAACTTATGGTTTGGTATAAGTGCAGATGGCATTAATCCTTTTGAGGAGCAGAGCGGCAACCATAACACCTGGCCTGTGACTCTATGTATCTATAACCTTCCCTCTTGGTTGTGAACTTACTTTCATGTTGCTATGGCGGAGCTGAACTTTTGTTTGTGAACTACTTGTTCACTGCCTTTATGTGATATGTATGATCGATGCTGCGAACGTAATTTCTATGTTTCTATGAAGATTGCTATATGATTTATCTTCGTAGATGAAGTGTTATGTGGTGTACTATGGGAAGAATCCAGGAGTCTATGATTCATGGGAGAAATGCAATGAATAAGTGGATGATTACAAGAACGCCAACTATAAAGGATATAAGACTAAAAAAGAAGTAGATGATCGTTACTCCAATTTCCTCCGCACGGGGAAAATCGACTATGAAGTATGCAAGATCATGTGGACAAATGGACGAGTACATAATTTGATAATCTTTATCCAGTTCATTGTCATTATGGTGTTTTTGTTATCATGAGGTCGTATATATATCAACATGCAACATGTGGGAGACTTCGCTGATATGGCTATGTGTACTTATTTATGATGTTATGTGAGTTGTACTCTAATGCGTACATCTATTGTATTGCATGTGGATTATTGTTATGGTAAAATGTGCTGCTACTATTCTGTGATACATTGTAATGCATATGATCAAATATGTTATAGTTATTATTTAATGTCTGGTTTTTGCACCAGAAGTGTTGCTGGCTGGGCATATTAATTAGTTGTGACGGTGCCCCAGCCTGCCCGCCACAACTAACAATATCTCTCAGTGGCGGGCATCCAGATGAGCCCGCCACTTCAGAGACAATACAAATGGTGGACGCGCGCCCTCCATTGATTCGGTGTTAGCGGTGGCGGGCGCCTCTGAGAGCCTGTCCCATCACTACTAGGCTTTTTGCGCCCGCCACTGCTAGGTCTTTTCCCAGTATTGTAAAAATCTCGCATTGACTTATCAACTACTAACATAATCCAACTTTCATCTTCAAAGCAATTTTTTTGAGTCTAAAACAATTTGAATTACATGGTGCACATGTCACAGGAAATATACATCTGAATTTTTTGTCATGACCGACAATATGTCCCACAAGTGGGTACCACATCATTCAAAACCACTTTGGAATGACAAGTCCAATTTTTTGGGATGAAAATTGCACGGTATCGATAGTTGGTGGAGGGTTCGGAGTCAATGGATGGAAGGTACACTTAGGCAATACGTACAATAGTAGAGGACTGAAATGCACAATTTTTAGTGGCTATCTTTTCATATTGTTTAAGACAGACTATTTGCTTAGCTGAGTTATAACTAGCTATTAAAATGTTAGTATACTTGCCGGCCCATACTAGAATTATGGTGAGTTATACCGTATAATCCATTTCTTAGATCATGTGACCCACATCTCATCATAGGAAATGAGGCTCTCAAGAGCCAAGTGAAGGCGACACATCTTATCATATCGTAAATCATATGGACTTATTATATACGGGAAAAACTAAATAATAAATTAAGACAACACATGTATTTATTTATTATAATATATCTTAGTGCATAAGAACACTAATTAGTACAACCACCAGGCCCCCCATAGCTGAATTGGTCAGTCATAAATTTGCTGACATGATAGCAGTTCTTATGGGTTTCCCTAGACTGAAGGCCAGGCACTGGAACGGGAGGATAACCCTGCCCATCACTGTTGACATATTGCACATCATGAAATGTAGCAGAGCCTTGTCCTGGCCAGTGCCCATTGCCCATGGGCGGGCTTGGTTCCCCTACAAGAGATCCAGTGAAGCCTCCCCAACTTACATAATTTGCATAATAAGCCAAGCTATTGAAAAGACTCCGTGGCCAATATCCGACGGGAGCAAACTTTTGACCAGCATGGGCAAAGTGTAACCACCAGTCTCCATCATCTTTACTCTGTGAAATCATCAAAGTGTTCTTGTTTAATCTAGAATGTGTTTAAGACTAATTGTGGTTCAATCTTTGTAACAAACCAATGAAATAATCCATGTGACACGAGGGCAAACATAAGTTTGGATAATCAAATAAATTAGAAATAGTATAAGAAAGCTATCATCCCACCTTGAATATCTTGATAGATATCTTACTTTTCCCCTTGAGAGTATCTCCTGGGGTAATAGGAGCATAGTTAACTGGTACAAATCCATCACACTTCAAGTCAAAGCATCCCGTTGAATTGTATCCATCAGCCTAACCATTCCCCATAAAAATCATTGGTTACATATATGAAATATATAAATCCAATTTCAAGCATTTTCTTTTGTACCATATTCAATGAAAATAAAACACACGTGAGAAAAATATTGTGGTGTTTTGATGTAAATACAGGGCCGCACTATAGATGATATCTTCTATTGATTAACATGGTATACTACAAGATATTGTGTGTGTGCTTACTTTTCCATGTTAATTAGCACTATGATGGGGATTTGGATTAGATATTCTCATATAACAACCTATGTTGAATTATAATTTCAACCTAGTGACCAAACACATGGTGAATAGATTACATACCGACCATCCTATAAGGAAGTGTGTTTTGTTGTCACCATAGTAAGCAGGGTCAATCTACACAAAAAGGACGAAACAACTTTTGAGAACTATCGAGCACATGATAATTCAAATAAAATAACTTTGTCTCAATAAGGACAAATTTACTTACACTCCATCCTGCAGTTACAATATTCAGATTATAGATATGACCTTGTTCGTAAAATGCGACCCACATTCCAGCATCAGATGTTTGTCCCTTCTTAACATTTAGAGACTCATAAACATCGAAAGTTGCAATGCCACCATAAAATTTTTGTACAAAAAATGGTATAGATTGGTAAATAGCATCCTGCAAAGAAATACCACACAATTAATAGTACATTATAAAGGATTTTGTGAAATATAGTCAAATTTATCGGTTGAGTTTCAAATGCTTTAGGTAAAGGTTTACTGGGATGGAAGTATGAAGAATATCATAATCAAGTAGTGGCAGTAGTTTGAAGATGTTATAAATTTTTTTTGGAGCAACTAGGGTTAAAATGAATATTAAGGATGTCTGTTTTTATAAGGAATAACAAATTCGTTAATCCTAGTATGCTGGGATGTGCGATCTAGTTAGTGTAGGTACTACACCATCAAGTACCAAGATTATGACACCTCATATTGCTCGCATTTAATTTTCATATAACCGACCAGTAATATGGTGTGTAAGATATGTGCATCTCTAAGTGGAAATCATAGGAGTAGATACTACAGGCGCCAAACGTTATTATGTAGTATTATCCTCTAGCTACAAAAAAATGTTTACTTACATCCTTAAACTATCAAAAAAATGTTATTTATCTTTCATTTCTTTTGGGTGTGATTGTGCTTCTTCCGCTCCAGCACCTATCGTTGGCTGTATCGGTTAGTTGCTTCGGAATACAAAGCGGGGAAAAAATATTTCGGCGATTCCCCACGGTCTGATAACACGGTCATTCACAAATAAGCCTCTCACGCATGTTCCCACCGAACTAAGTCTTGATATACTCCACAAATGTTTGACCGTGATCATTATGTCAAAGAAGCCAACGAAGACTATACACGTATGTAAACATAAGGGAGTGGCTTGAAGTTGAATCCTGGACACCATGGAATTAATTAAGAAACTCAAGATTAATTTTCATACAAAAAGTGGTTACATATTCATATGGATATGGAATTTTGATGCATTTTTAAAATAAATTTGCAAGCCCCAATGAGTTCAGAAAGAATCTTATAGTTGGGTTATCAATAGAAAAAACAAGAAAAAGAAGCAATTTTATTGTGATAGATATGAGATGTACCATAGGAAAGAAAGAACTTACATGGGCAACTTCACCATTTAATGGTTTAGCCTCGATCGATGGTAAACTTTCATTAGAGGATTCCCTTGCCTTGAATTTCATGTGCCCCCGAAGATGTGGATTCTGACACCATGTTGTATGTACTTTGTCAAAGCAGTGGACAAAGAGCAGCAAGAAAACGTACACAAGTTTCATTGTTTCATCCAATAGAAATGTGGATTCTTGCACTATTCTTAGAGGTCCATAGGATGGAAACTAAGTACATAGTTTATATAGACCTAAATTGACAACAAGAAACAAATATGTAGAGCATTTATTGGGTTCCTTGCGGTGGAAATCAAATAAAATATTCTATAATTGCATATATTCATTAATGGGAAATAATAGATACTAGTGTATATATGGATTAAATTCATAAACCATGGTACTCTGCTCCTTGTGGTTGAAGTTAAATGATATATCCTTCATTTATGGAAAGGATGAATTTTGTTGTAGGTGTGTGTGTGTGTGTGTGTGTGTGTTATAGATATATGTGAATATATCTATACGCATTTATGGAAAATGATTTGTTTCCAACATAAGAAAATCATTATGACCAATTCTATATAAAGGAGTATTTATGGAAAAAGATCCATTCGTGCGCACTTAGATATAGTTTATGAATTCCAAAAAATATTGTGCCCAACACAATGAAAATAATAATATGCCATTCATTTATGTTGGAATATAGGTAATTATCTACGTCTAATGTAATGGGAAGAAATTATTTTGCAACCTTAGTGTACATTCGTAGTCACATAACGTTGCTATTAAAGGACAATATTACTTTCCACGCATGGGGCCCTTCTGGAACTTTGCAGGAGGTCCCTTCAAGAGTTTGTTTATCATCCTACATTATTTTGCTATATCTCTACTTCTAAAGGGGGTCTTGATAGTCTCCGTTCCACGGATTTTCGCCTCGCCTCACACCTTCGTATGTTTTGTTGTCTCTCGTCCCACCACCATCTATTTCGTTTGGTTTTTCGTCTCATCTCCCACCACCATCTACCGCAGGGTTTTTCTCCCTCCAATTAAAAAAACAAATCGTATTAAATACCAGATCTTGTTTCATGCTTGCTTTGGCAGGTGCTGATTCAATTCAAAAATCACACCATATATATGAGATCACCTTCCTAAAAAACAGACATAAGATTTTTCTTAATAAATTTCCAAAACAAAATCAGATATTCCTCAACAAAAAATTGCTAATCCCGCACAGTATGCCATTTATTATTATCATTATCTACTAGAAAGATGACCGTGCGTTGCACGTAACATCAAGATGCATTTGTATGAGTAGTTTATCTTGTGAGAGAAAAGGATGAACGAGGAAAGGCCTTATTTGCAAATGTGGAGAGGGGTGTGTGTATCTTTTTGTAAAATTGCCATAGTTTCCTTCCTATCCATCAGATATTGTAAAACAGTAAGACGCAACAATCTAGGAGCCTCCACAGCTATTTGACGCTCTAAGCCGTCGGATCTTGTGTATGAATGCGCTGGATTTGTTCAGCCATCCAGGTCGTTACGCACGTACCAAGCATCGTTTCACGGGCCGCTGATCCACAGAATTAGCTGCAATTTCTATCAGTAATCGGGTTGTGAGATAGAAGGCTCAGGTTCAGCCCAACGTGCAAAGCAGGCAGGTCGTCCGGGTCTCTTCGTCTATCCCCGAGCGGCGGTGCAATCCCTATCCCCGAGCTCCTCTGTTCGTCGCCGTCCTTCGTCTCAGCGGCGAGCTTCTGAAGCACGTCTGCTTAGGCATCAGCGCCTTCCACTGCCCCTGTACTCTTCCTTTGCAGGCCCCCATGGTGGGTTCCTTCTTTACCTTTTTTTATGTCGTTCCTGTAGCGTTCTTCATGGCAGTTGAGGCGGCCACATGCGCCATCGGCGTCCATCTCCGATTGTCTTTCTCCCGTGTCTGCCAGCATGCCTTTGCAGTTGTAACGCGCGTCCCTCCACGTTTCGTACCTGAGATGCCTCTTCGTTCGACCCTCCCTGGACGGCGAAGGAGATTCGACAGAGCCGATCGTGACCCATAGAGAAAAATCGTAGTTAGTCGCCAGCGCCTGATCCTTCTTTTACGCCGCGGGATCAGCGTCCCCTCTTCTTCCGTGCCTGCCCAGCAAGGTACGCGAACAACGTCTCTGCACCAACAGACTGTAGAGATTAGATTCTGAACTGCGACATCTGATTTTATGTTTGATTTATTGATAATTTCAACTGGCTTGATAATCTCCAGGGAGGATGAAGTTGTTGATTTGTTGTGCTGATGCGTGATGAGCATCTCGAGAGGATGTAGTTGGAACAGTCGGTGTACTATTTCTTATGGCAGATTCGTTTACTTTGTTCCTCAATCCCGGAGGGCAAGGTTTCAGTAATTTGTCTTCTTATAATGGATAAGAGATCAGAAGCTTAACTTGGAACATTGGAATTCATGTATTATGCATAGTTGTTTACGTGCATTAGCTTTATTGGCTATATAGGAATTTACTATCAGATTATGTGGGCTTATTTTCTTTGTGAAATTGTTCCTTGATACTTTAGCAATCTCCATGGGATCAGTTTCATAAGTTCAGTTTGTGCTACTGTTTGTTGGTTATCTGATAAAATGCTCATGTACTTTAAAGATTTATCATGTGTGTGCTTTTTTGTTCTGGTGCATTGCATGTTTTAGTACACTGAAATTCTTGATATGTTTTACAGCTAAGCCATTAATTAGGTGGTGAAAGCCATTTTATGAGGTCGTTGTTGACAGCAATGTTATGTTCAACTTTGAGAGCCAGTCTTCTTTTATCCATATTCAACTTTTGCCTGTCACGTATTCATCTCTTGTTGGGTAAGCTTATGAGCTGTTCTTACATTTTGCAGGATTTTGATGTTTGTGCCTTCGAGAGGTTCCTTGATGCTGGCAGCACCTTGCAAGCTGTTACTTTTCAGAGAACACCGGAAACCATATCTTTTTTTTTCTGTTAGCCCTGCTGCGGTGCTTTACATTCAATTATTTTTCTGCCTCCAAAATACTTCTCACATTAAGTCAGCAAATTTCCTATATATTGGTATCATCTTCTTATTTGAGGCGTTGTACTTACGAACACTCATACTTGTTAGATATATTGGTATCATCTAAATTATAAAAGATATTTCTACTACTTTTTTGTTAAAATGGGCGAGCGCGGCAACGTGCGCCTTCATGTTCTAGTAAATATGACGGCCTATATTGCAGGATGGTAGGCACATCATCATCACCAACTCTGTTTTTTATAAGAGTAGAGATCTATATTGCTAAATAACAATGACAACTTTGCTAATACAACAAAAATAACATATTTTTTTACTTATCTTACCAAATCACATACATTTTCTTATCTCTACTACTAAAATCAATTCCACTCCTATCGGTTGGCAACATCGCATCCACTCCAGTAAAACTCCCACATTGATTTTTTTATCCCTCTAATTTACTTAAATCCGTTTTTAGCCAATTGATCTACTTAATTTCGTTTTTATCTGCCAAATCTACACAAATCAGAGATGTCAATCTTCAATTTAGTTAGTAATGTCGTTATGATAAGAAATCAATCACGATGATCTCTAATCAATCTTCAAAGACCAAATCTACACAAATATTTGATAACACAAGGAATCATTCTCCTCCTATCGATTTCCACTCCTTCGTCCCACCAATTCCACCGATTTTATTTTTAGATTTTTTTTCGCTGAATCACGTCTCCTTCCTTTGTTTTTGGATACCTTCCCGCATGGAATGAAATCTATACCTACTAATAAAGGAGGTGCGTTTTGTCAATTTTTCATCCGGTCACCGCCGAAAAAGATTTTTTTCTATCCGAGGTGGTACTAAATTCTTATGCGTTCGTCTGCTAGAAAAAAGGCTTTTCTAGAATTTCATATGTGGGTTGCACGCTGTGGCCCAGCAAATTCAGCCCACTTATTTTTCTACCCACGCAGCTGGAACAATTCTATTCTCTGCATGGGGCGACAAATAATTGACGCTTCGCACAGGACAACCAATAATTATGCTCCTTCCCCTATCTCCTTTTTCCCTTCCAAGTTTATTTTTCATATAGAATTTATTACATAAATTCAAAATTCTCAAAAAGTTTTTAGAATTAAAAAAAATAATCAAAATTTGGAAAATATTAAGAATTCCAAAATTTAGTTGCTCTTTGAAAAATATTCGAAACTTAAAAAAGTTTCCATTTTTTTAAAATATATTATTTTGTAAAAAAATTCAAGATTTCTAAAAAGAAAATGTCATTTTAAAAATGCTCAAAATTCAAAAAATATTATTGGTTTAGTGAAATTTTCACAATTCAAAATAATGTTCATGTATAAAAGAACACATTTTCAAAAAATGTTATGAATTTTTAACACATGTTCCCTTCTTAAAAAGTAATCACAAATTCAAATAATGTCCATGTTTTTATAAAGAGTTGGAATTTTCAAAAATGTTTGTGAATTTTAAAAGATGTTCCTGTTTCAAATTTTATTCATATTTTTCTGAAAGTTACATAATTTTCAAAAACCTGTTCAAGATTTAAAAAATGGTTAACGTTTCCTACAATATTCAGAAACTTCATACTTCAAAATCTCCTTGATTGAAGGGAAAAGTAGATTGAATAATTCATGGGCCTTCTCTGGCGTACGATGACGTAACAAAACTCTTAAATACTCTTGATCAATCTATATCTATATCTATATCTATAACTCTATACCTAACATTAAAGGACGGATTGTTTCTCCACTATTTTTGGTCCATCAGATGTTTTCCATATATTTTATGTTTTTTCGTCCGTCGCCGCTTTATGTTAAAAAATAAAAAAAATACTTCCACATGGACTCGAACACTGCCTAGTTATGTTGAGCCACAATGGAACAACTAGTCGACCTAGCCACAGTGTTGTTTGGAAAGACAGAGGTATATTACATTTTATATGCTCCTCTCCCGCGTGCCCTATTGGGCCGGCCAATTAGCGGGGCAGGATTCCCTTTTTCTTATTTCGTTTTTCCTTATTTGAAATAATTTGGGATTTCAGAAAGTTCCAAATTTCAAAAGAAAATGTAAATATTGAAAAATGTTTTAGAAACCGTGCGCCCTATTAGGCTGACCCATGAGCGAGGAGGGACGCCACTGTTTA